TGTTTATTCTGCTAACAATGCTTTGTTTTCTACCATCTAGCCTTAGGTCTTCACGTTTATATACCGGAGGTTTAGAAAGGGGGTAAAGGAGTTACTCTTGACTAAAGCCTACTATAATGTTTAAGCATTCTTTGGAGACACCTTGTGAACATATTTTCAACGTTCCTAAAATTGTAAATTGTTCTTAAGTTTTATTATTTTAATATTTAAATTGATATGCTTCAGAGTTTATTCTTACGATTTCTCTTCATTTATTATGAAATTTTCATCTAACCACAACAAAAACTGTAGGTATTGTTTTTGGTAATAAAAATGTAGCTTTTGGCTTGAAATTTTAGTATATAATTCATTTTCTAACTCTGCGTTATAATAATTATTGCAAATTAATCTTTTGATTCGGTTTATGATAATCATGAAAATTGCAAATCGATCCTATAAGCGTATCATTTATAATTTCAGTGAAATATAATCCCTTGAACATATTATACATTTTGCTATATCAACTTTTCTCTTTGAAATTCAGCAGCAATATACAAACTTCGGTATACACCAAATAATGCATATAGTCCAATACAGAAGAGGCCATAATAGGTACCTACCCTTAACTGAAAGTATTTCGATTAATTTTCCAATATTCCGTACAAATTTTGATACGTTATTCAGCTTAAGCCCATCAAGTGCTGACAAATTAGTCCCAATCAAAACCGAAAACCGTCCTATTTCCAATCCCAAAAAAAAAAATATCTTCTCCTTGGCATTATTCATCACTTGTCGGATTGTGGATTATTTTGATTTGCCATTGCACACACACTTCCATATTCATTCTATTTCCAGATCTAACGATTGACGTCATAGGTGTCGATACATATTATGAAAAAGCAACGACGTCATCGATTTGCTATACGCTGGCGTGGAATTTTTCTTTATAGGTTAACTGGATAGACAATAAAGAAAAATAAACACAATCTGTGTAATGAAAATATTTATGCTGCTATGCTTATTAAAACGATACGTCCTAGATTTGAAACTTTTAATTATTCTTCCCACATTTTGTTTTGTATAGAAGAAATGTGTTGAATAATCATTGTAGCCCATTTTCTCAAAAAAAATAAGCCTTATCCTTGGCTCCTATGTGCCCTCGTTATGTTTTTTACCCCCCTCAATGGGTCGTTTTGTGGTTATTTGACGTTAAATTAAAAGATGCCTCTCGCATACGCAAGATTTATACACGTCGAATAAGGGAAAATAAGAGGAGGTTTGAGCAGGGTAGGTTTATCGTTTCCAAGTTATTTTTTTCTTCAAAAAAGTGAACAATTTATGGCTGGATAGGGATTATGTTTTATTTCAAAATAAAATATCAAAGAAATTTATGACGGGGCACGAAAATGCATGCTGTTGGGAAAATATGCTTGTGAAAACTTTATTTCCATGGCGTGTTTTTGAAATAGGGTACTTGCGGTATATTTGATATGATAATAGGGGTTGTTTAGTGTGCTGCTGCACTTCTTTGAATGAAAAAGGAAGCAAGTAAAATTGTTCAGTGAATCAAGAGCCGGCAATAATCAAAGTTTGGACTATTATCGGCTCTTGATTGCCTTAAAGGGGGTGTGCGCCAAAAAAACAACTTCATATCAAAAAAACGAGAAAAAAAGAATAACAGTGAAAACCGCACCCCTCTATGACAAATAATATCGAAGATATGGCTCTATGAAGGTATCGCATCTCACCCTATGACGTCACGAAAGCTCAAGCGACGCACGAGAAAGTGAAGTAGATTGAATTTACATATGTTTTTCCTGTGTCACCTGCAATAATTTAAACAAAAACCACTCACGCGTACCAGAAACAATCAAATTATCAATGCGGAGCGCGGCTGGACGAAGCTTTCGTGACGTCACACACACTTTGAAGCGGTATATCTCAGCTATGGTTCATCGTAGAATAACGAGGTTTGAACAGTTATTCTTAGATTTTTTTACACTAAAACTTTAATTTTTGGCGCACACCCCCTTTAAGCAATTTTTCAGTAGCTTAAAAAAACCCGGGAATATTCAAAATTTTTACTATCAGTGATTCTTGATTAATAATCTGAATTTATGTGAATCAAGAACTAGTAGTTTGAACAATTACTGTTTCCCTAGGCAATTTTCCTAGAAGCGATGAAAAACCACCAATATAGTCCTAATCTTATTTTGATTATTTCAGTCCTTGATTTACTGAGAAATTATTCTGGACCCAATTAAAAGCAGAGAATGTCCGAATCTTGAATATTACCTCTTCTTGATTTCCTAGGCAAGTCGATAAATAGTTCAAATTTTGATTAAGTATTATTATTATTATCTTTTAGAAAACTATATATTACCAACATTATTACAATATCTTCAATGTTACATCTTTTCTCAAATCTGTGTTAGAAACACTGGTCTCAAGAAAACAATAAAAAACTATATATAACAATGATTATCGGCTCTTGATTCGCTGGACTCTTTTTCTAGGAACAATCAAGAACCACTAATGATGAAATTTTTGTAACATAACCCTCCAAGCTAACCAACCTATTTGTAGTTTTTAACTGTTAACCACAGAACCTGTTAACTGTTAATTGTCATATGGACAATTAAAAAATGACTTGACGTTTGTTGTAGTGTGTTGTAACTTTCGTACGTTTAATTAAAGTTATTGAGTCTCCGGTATAGTGTTTGTAAGCCTTTTCCTTTTTGTAACTTTCCCGAGTAAATTACACAGTCCCTCGATCCAAAGCAGATAGAGATTGAACCACCGACTGCCCGCCACAAATTGGCGCCCAACGTGGGGCCTTCGAAGATTGTGAAATGTGATTTCGGTAAGAGTTACAATGAAAGTGTGTTTTTAGACATTGAATCGACACTGTTTCAGTTTGGTTTTGTGTTAATGTCAATGACATCAAAACACAGATAGACGGATCATCCCATTCATAAACTGATATTTGTTGTGTTGACAAGACCACTCATGGGCCAGGGGAGGTGAATTGCTCGCGGCGTCGGGGTAGGGAGACATCATTGCTCAAAATGGTGTAAAAAACCCCGCCCACACGTGAAAATATCTCAAAATTTAATTGGATGAATAAATAAAATGAAAAATTGACAAATAAACTGAAAATATTCGATACGAGCCCTTTATTCTGGGAGTACCAATATCATATTGATCGTTTCTTGTTTAACGCTAATGAATAATCCTTGTGTGCGATAAAGATAGCTATAGCTACTCCAACCAACACCTGCCTGCCATTCAACAAGCCGCTTCTGGGCGGTGTTTTGCTACAAGTTGCTGTTGCCAAATTGAGTTCAGAAATAAAATTGAAAACGTTAATTAGAAAAGGAGGAAAATATATTATTTAGGGATTCAAGACAAAATTTGGCATCCTTAGTGGTGGGGATAGCACAAAGACCCAAAAGAGACAGAGAGATGTTGTCATACGAAAATTTTGTTTATTGTTCGGTTTATCTGTGTTTTGATGTCATTGGTTAATGTACTTTCCGTTGAACATTGTCATTTCAGTTTTATATCGGAATATCACTTAACAAAGATACTGCTAACAGAAAAAGTCCCTCATCATCAAGAAAATTTAAATATGACCTTAGCAGATTGTAGAACTTCTACAGTAAATGCCCATTATTTTGATGTGAAAGCTGCCTTGAAGAAGTCATCATGTTACCATTATTTCTGTCCCAAATCATAAGGAAAGCAGAACACTTCTAGAGGCAGATTTTCCTAAATCAGCAAATATTATTCTGGATGTTCCCCAAATTCATGGTTCTATAGCGATGAACCCCTACAAGTTTGATTCGAAACCAATTAAACCTGTTTACCTTCAAGAAACGTTCCCCTACACAAGAATGCCTTTTGGAAAGCGTAATGCACCATCTACCTTCCAGAGGCTAATCGACAAATTACGATCAGGCCTTCAAAATATTAATTTGTTAGCATATTTTGATGATATAATAATCTTGTCGGATTCCTTTGAATCCCATATTGATAATCTACAACAAGTGTTTAGGCGCTTGAGATTATTTAAACTTCGCCTAAACCGCAAGAAATGCAGATTTTCTTGTTCTTCGGTACAGTATTTGGGCAATGTGATAACACCGCAAGGTATTTCACAAAATCCTGAGAAGATTACTGCTATTTTGAATATCCTAGTACCGTTGAGGAACTTCTGTCATTTTTACAAACCTGCTCATGATATAGACGATTTATTGAAAATTTTGCAAATATCTCTTAACCGTTAACAATGCTAACAAAGATGTCCGAAATTTTGCTATCTAACCCCACTTTTCGCGTTTCCATATCTAAATTTTCGAATTTGCCGCCGCAACAGTGATTACGTGACCAATGTCAAAATGTACTTTTAGGTTATCGGATATGCAGGATCGCTCGCACATAATAAAAATTCAAAATTCCCAAATGTTACATATGTAGCGAACATTATAGGGGACACTGTATAATAATTAATAATATCGATGATATCAACAAAACCAAACAAAATGTGGTTCATAACTTCTACTTTTTCCAATATAGTAACCCAAAATGAACTCCCTCTATATACCAGAATACAAAAGCCAAAATTTCATGTCAAAATCAACTCATTATTCATTCCAATGTTTATTCACAAGCTACCTTTCCCATCTAAAAAATATGCGATAATATTAATTAATACAACGCCGTTCAAATCTTGATAAAACAAATAAATTTCGCCTGGAATGAAAAGTGATGAGAATGAATTGTTTTTTCAAATTCAAGTCAAAGAAGACGGACCACGCATAAATATTTAAACTTGACATTGTCCGGGGTCTTTGTTTACTAAACATCAACTCAAAATTTATTTTGTAGCAACTGCAGCTCGCTATTTTTAGTTGATTTGTGTGGAAACCTGGACAATTTTATTAAAGAATTTTGTTCAGGGATTTTATTAAAACCCCTTATAATCCGGGACAATATTAACATATGGCTACTCAACTTACCCCATCAGGATTGCGTTTGTATGGAGGGCCGGTTCCGCAGAAATCGACCAGGACGTCTTCGAGCTTTTTGTTGGCATCTGGAACAAGACAAATATTGAATCATGAAATCTAGATTTAGCTATTTAATAGAGAAATTTGAAGAAAACAGAAATTCAAGAGCCGAGAATAGATTAAAATTCTAGCTCAGGCTCCTGCTTCATTTTGAAGAAGGTAATTTAAAAGGAAAGAAATGTTCGAGGGCCTAAAATAAACAAAAATTGAGGAAAAAATAACATAGAATGAGAATTATTTCTGATGATCGTACGCAATCCGCCACACAGAATTGTTATTTTTCCACCCCTATATTTCCATGTCCGCATCCATAAATAATCCCGAGGAAAAATGCGAAAAAGCCGATAAAATGGATATCGTCGAGTTGGCACTACTAGGACAGGAACAAATAGTAATTAAAAATTGTCAATTAAGGGCGTGTAACGAAATGTTGTTGATCCTGTTTGCTCGGCATGTTTTGCATGTTGCTATCAACGTTAATAAGTAGACAGGGAAGGCAGGAACATTGATACCTGTGGGAAAACATGCACTGTTCGTGATACATTTTTTTTTTATAAGGGTTGTATTTTTACTTAAATTGAATTTGAACGCCTACATAATTCCCTGGTTCATAATTCATTCGTTTATCAGTGAGGATATATTTTTGAAAGTATTTCAAAGTATTTCATCTAATTATCATTTTGTTCCTGGAAGTCTTTTAAAGAATTGTGGCAAATATCTATTGCATCATGAAGTCCTCATTTGCACAAAAGAAATCTTTTCAGTACCTACGTCAATATTCAAAATTACCTCATATATAGGAAGCAATAATAACTATATTTCCTGGGATTGTTGATTTCCAGAAGGGCTAAACTAGGTCGACCTGAATATGTTATAGTATAGTCTGTTTGCGTAGGTTGAAACCAACTAATCAAACATGTGCAAATATTTATCTATTTATATAATAGGCCGTTTAATTTCTACACAGGATTTTTAAGCAATGAACTTCGGGCCTAATTTTCTAAAGCTATTTTTATCGGTGCTTATTTTAACAATTTTTAGTCTTGAATCAGTTCAGGATTTTCTTTGATCATTTTTAGGAGCAGCTGTGAAAACGGGTTTGATGAAAAAGCCTCATTTTTTCAAAATCCAATAATTTTAAAACTACCCAAAAGTTATATAGGCTCCAAAAATCCAGGAAATGCGAAATAGTTATAATGTGTAGTATCGGAATGAATTTTTTCGAGTCAAAGCAAACCGCGAAAAAGACTAGAAGCCATATTCCTTTTCCGGAAAATAATTGCTTTCCTTTTGAGCTCACAAAACTCAAGCTGTTTGGTATAAACATAAAACATTTTCCTTTTGAAACATATTCGCCCTTAGTGGAATTTTCACCCCCTGAAGAGCGTACCTACTTGAAAAGATTCTTTTTTTTGTGCGTCTATTTTCATTTCAGTCCCTGTTTGAGTATCCCCGTTGTCTCTGAGAATAGAAATGAAATCTCCCGAGCCACCGAACACTGAAATAAGAGCTCTTTTATTGTTTGAACTTCCGGGAAAGAAATTGTTTCCGGGATCACCAACCCAAGCAAATATTTATTATAATAGGCAAACACTAAATAATAAATACCAGATTTATATTATTGAATATTTGGGTGCATATATGAAGTAGGTAATAAATTTGCTTGGTTTAATTATGATTAGATACTTGAAAAACACATTTTGCGTCAGTTTTTTTCTCGATGTTTGATGAAACCCCAGAAAATATTTATCCTTCAATTAATCCTGGATAATTTCAATGTAAATTGTTTACGTGAAATTTGCAATGAATCATTTTGAAGTACCTACTTAGCCAATAATTATAATTGCATTTTGAAAAAGTCAAGTCATAATTAAACAAAAATTTTGTATGGAAGATAGAAGAAAAAGATGCTTAGGAGACAAATCAAGGGGTAGTATGTGTTTTAGAGATTTCTCGATCAAACAGTTTTGTATATGAGGCGATACTTGGTAAATCAGCCCAGTCAGTACGTATGTACTTGCATAGATCGCTGGAATATGTGAAAGTATATATATGACGTCCCAAATGACACCAAGTTTCAGCCAAGGAATGTAATTCTTAGACCATTCATTCTATGCCATGAACCAACAAGGCAAGTACATCATACTGCAGATAATAATCAAAATTTTCACCACTCTCAGACCACAGGGATAAGCTCCTAACATTCTATTATCAGAACGTGAGTGGTATAAAATCTTGCTCCAGATTTCAATGTGTAATGCTCTTGTGGAAGACTTAATAACTAACTAAAACATTTCTAGATGATAGCGTATTCTCTAGTAAGCTTGGCCTGCCAGAGTATTTTGTCTATAGATGTGACAGAACTAACGAAACCAGTGAATGTTTAACGCAGGTTTGGGTGCTTATTGCAGCTAGGAGTACATTGTCCTGCCGTCTTTTTCGTAGGTACACCAATTAATAATGTTGAACAAGTTCTTGTTTTGATCCCCATTGGAAATCATAAGGTTGGAAATATTAGCTATGTATTTACAGCTTGTCAAATAAATAAATTCATAAATTTATACATGCATAAATACATGTAGAAAAACACGAAAAAATACACAGATGTAATTCGGGCTTTATAGCAGTTTTATCTTGTGATTTATTCAATATTGCTTTGTTAAGGTACATTCAGTAGGTAACTTAATTTAAATTGATTCAGCTATACTGGATATTTCTGGATAATGGAATCAACGTGGGCAACGCATAGATTCCTGGTGTCTCAGATATCAACATATTAAAAGTTTCTGTCTATCTGTGATGCTCTTGGTGGATCAAACAGATTTTACGGATATTTTTCTCTGGGGGTGACTTCAATCTGCCTTAACAGTGTAAATGGAACGTTTCCAGTGGAAACTCCTAATAATGAAGCCACTATGATATCGGACTGTGCTGCTTATCTGGGTTTGTTCCTAATAGGCTTGGCAACTTAATTGTTTAGTAACCATGTTAATGTGTCAATTTCAATATGTGATAATCGTTTGTTGAGGCTGGATGCTCCACATCCAGCTTTCAAATGTAGTTATTATTCAAAATTTATGTACACAAGAACTTGACATGATTTTTCTTAATATACCTACCTATACCTAAGTTTAAACACTCAAATTTTATTGATATGAATTTGTTCCTGGCTGGCTATGATTGAAGCTTTGTCCTTGAGTTTCCTGATGTGGTTGAGGCAGTCTCACTTCTTATTGATACTCTTTGTTACGCAATTGAGTTGTTTACATTCGTACTTCCTGCTACACAAGTCGCCAAAGTTCCCTAAGTGGATGCATAACGAACTTAAAAAACAAATCATTGAAAAGAAGAAAGCGCACAGAAAAATTAAAACAACTGGATCAATTGAAGACTTGTTTTCTCAGAATTTATTTTATTTATTTGCTCAAATACTTTACAGAACATAGTTCCAAATGGTACATATAATGACAATTCTATACATAACATATTGCGATTAAAACTCGATAATCATAAGGAATACTTCATACTATTACCAAATAAGTTACATCTTACATTTTCCATTAAACAAAAACACAAGGGCAGTGCTCTACAGCCAAACACACACAAAAACTTGAGAACAACACCAATGATCACAGGAAACGGTTCAATTTGGCATTGGATGTTTGTGAGGTGCACTCGAAGTTAAAATCCATCGAGAGATATTCATTGAAATGAGCCATAATTCTGTTCAGATTGTCTAGTGGAACGAGCTGCTACTTTGAAATTGAACAATGATAGGAGCTCAAGGGAGTCAACAATACCACTTAGGTGAATGACATTGAAAGCCTTGTCCTCCGACCCTCTAAAGAGTCAAGCCCTAACATTGCATTTCGCTCAGAATGTGTCAGGTTATCTTCATCCACGTTCATTTTAAATAACATGAAGTTAACTAACTTTGTTTGAAGTCTTTCTAGCCTTTTAATGTGCGATTTTTATGTTATGGGGACCATACTGGGCAAGAATATTCTAAGATACTTTTTATGAGAGCGCAATAAATAGATTTTATGTCATACCAATACATTATTGTGTTTTTATACCTTAGATACCATCTATATAATTTATTACTTTATGCCCGTGCGGGCATAAAGTACACATTATGGCCCGCGCGGGCATAAATACGCAAAAAACAGTTTTCAATTAACTTATTCTTTATTAACAAAATATAAATTTACGCTGATAAACATATTATTTTTGTCAAAAAATTATGATGTTTGCACACTGATGACAATTTGCGAAGTGACACTTTTTTCCCAGGTATTTATTATTCACAACCAACTGGTATGACATAAAAGTTTGTATGGACCACGGGTACTAAAAGATATATATACCCTTGGGTGACTTACGAACCCTCGGGCCAGAGGCCCTCGGCTTTGTAAGACTGTCGCCCTCAGGGCATAATCATCTACTTAGTACCCTTGATACATAAATAACTATTATGTCATACCAATACATTATTGTGTTTTTATACCTTAGATACCATCTACATAATTCATTACTTTATGCCCGTGCGGGCATAAAGTACACATTATGGCCCGCGCGGGCATAAAGACGCAAAAAACAGTTTTGAATTAACTTATTCTTTATAGACAAAATATAAATTTACGCTTAAAAACATATTATTTTTGTCAAAAAATGATGATGTTCGCACACTGATGACAATTTTTTCCCAGGTATTTATTTTTCACAACCAACTGGTATGACATAAAAGTTTGTATGCACCACGGGTACTAATAGATATATACCCTCGGGCGACTTACGAACCCTCGGGCCAGAGGCCCTCGGCTTTGTAAGACTATCTTCCTCATGGCATAATAATCTACTCAGTACCCTTGATACATAAATAACTATTATGTCCGATTGACCAATAAAGTGCTATTTATAGAACAGTTTTGCGTCAATAAAGTAGCACTTTATTGTACTAGTAAAATAAAGTGCTACTTTATTTTACTAGTAAAATAAAGTGCTACTTTATTGCCTACCTGGACAA